TTATAACAACTGCGCCTGTATTTGCACTTTTGGTCCCCGTTTCTGGAACCGTTTTGCCAAAATTACCGTTACTATGAGGCACAGAGCACGGGCAGCAAATTCACTTGCCTAACAACCTCGAATAAGATTCCATACCACTGTGCCTCGGTGCACACAGCTAGGAAACGTAGGGCAGAAAGTCGTCTACTCGCCAACACTGGGGACATCACAGTACTCTAGTGTCGTCGAACAACACATAAGGCTATGCCGTGAGTCTAATAACTAATAAAAACCAATCACTCATCAAAAATTTGCATAAAGGGTTAATCGTAACATAGAAATCACATTAGGTAGGTCGGAGCACCGACCATCCCTTGTAGCGGTCGGTTGTACTCGGAGTGACTTGGCTAGATTCTGACTGTTTGATGACCAACTGGAAACGCGGCGTAGGCGTGGCAGTCGAGTAACTTGAGAGGCAGGTGTTTCTATGGCGAGTGTCAGTCTGACGGGTGCAGATGCGAGGATCGACTTTATTTAGAATTGAAACGCTCGACTACCGCGTTGTTGACTTTCGTCAAGAATTGGCTTGTGAAAAGGAATTTCATTTTGCACGTAGCGTCATTGCAGTTGTGCCCTCACAGTTCCCATCAGCATGCGGTGGAACCTCGGTTCCCGTTGATGCAGCTCGATCCATTATTTGAAGTGGATTGTTGGCAAGCAAGACATTGGTCCGATTAACGGTAATGCTGAACGCTAAACACTAAACGCTCCACATTGCATTCAACTCATTTGGTATATGGTATTACTTTAGTACAGTAACAACACTCAGTTAATACGAGAAATGGGCTCTGTGAACTGGCAGCTTCCCTATACAACGGTGCAGCGATAGCTGGCCTTTCCGTTAGCGCCTGTAAAAAGACATTCATGAGGAAACTCACCCAGGCACAGCAGATCTACAACTGAAAAACTGAGGTAAAGCAGTGGAGGAGTTTCACCAGTCTAAGCACCATGGATCCGTCATCTCGAGTGACGGGATCTCTAGACAATAAAAAATCAGCGAATCGCCGCAGGCTCGAGAAATTTTTTAAAAATGTGAAACATTTGTTGAGACCTTGGCGTACAGCCTTTGCTTCTCCACATTGAGAATTCACCGCTGCGATGGTTTGGGCATGTTTTACGAATGCCTCCAGAAAGGAAGGCTAAGCAACTGTTCCTTGCAAATCCGACTGGCAAAAGACCCAGGGGACGGCCAAGATTAACCTGGTGCAAACATATGGAAGGAGTCTGTTCGAGACTCCATTTGTCTTTTGCCGAAGCTCAGACTCTGGCACAGGATTTGGAGGCTCTGTCTGACACGTCTGCCTCCGCGATCCGTGAGGAGAAGCGGCGATGGAAGATGAAGATGACAATGATGAATATTTGAGCTGAAAAGTGCAACCTCTTCTACAAAAATCACACTGTATCTTTCCTTGGTCTGACACTCTTCCTTTGCAGCATGGAGACAGTTGTTGCAACGAAGAAGCAACAAAGGCGGTCGAACTGCGTATGGCAGCGTTGGTTTTCACGCTGACGGTCGGTCTTCTTTCAATTAACAAGAGTGGGCTACTTTGGCGCTTTTCTTTGAAAAAAGTTAATGGTGCGACGCTGATCTCTGTTTCCATGCCATCAACCACGAGTGCTTTATTTTGTCAAGGTATAATCTACAATCACACGTCAAGTACAGTATGTGATCTCCTGTTTCCTTTCCGCGGAGTGGTACTCGTTTATCGACCTGCAAAGGAGGAACGGCCAATGATCCTGTGCGTGGATTGAGTTCAGGATCTACCGGTTCTGAGTTCGACTCTCCACCGACTGAGTGTATTCAGTCTGGAGCAATGCGCGGTAAATTATTTGACGCTTGTATGTATAATATGAGGTAAATGGCGGGATCATGTAAGGAATAAGTCCATTCTCTTCCGGACACTTGTGATTTCCGTAGATATGGAGATTACGAACAGGAAATTGGCTCTGTAAGACATAACACTAATTATTCCAGCCCGTGAACCTCTCATGAGGGAGCTAAAATACTGTAGACATCGACCGGAATGCAAGCATGTAACATGGGGGAACAACGTAGATGCTGATCTACCTTCGAAGAGCAATATTTCCTTCTACAACGCAGCGACCAGTGCCATAGAGTAATTGTGAAGCAAGAATCATGAAACAAACACGTTCTGCTGTATAAACGGCTCACTGTTATGATTTCAGCAACATATAACTGGTTAGAGGTGGTTATAAAACTTCCTGCCATATTAGAGCACGAAAATGCCAAATGCGGACTTTATGCGTCTCATCCCTTGTTATTGGCCAAGTCAAGTAATAAAAGATGGGTCGTGGTTAATAAGGAAGGTCACATATTCACACATGTGCACAAACTTACAGTATCTATGATATAACTGTTGAACAGGCACGACAAAGAAGTTACTGTTTCCCACTTTCGGATAGTACAAAAGCGACTTTCCTCGGGGTTAAACAACAAACTAAACACGAGCCAACAGAGGTGCATGCGGTAACGCAGAACCTTGTCAAACAAGTTCAGTGAGACCATAGGGTAGTTCCACTGCTCTCCATACATCACACGAACCAACCTAGTCATTAAATTGTCGAATGGTATTCGTTGCGATGTACACTCATTCTAGGATCATGAGTTTAACTTTGTTTCTTTCAAGGTTGATCACACAAATGTACTTATTTATTAGCTGAGGTTCATTCCTTAAGGCATTAGTTGCGAAACGAAAGTGTTCAGGGTGTTTTTGGGTGATGGCTTTCTTGTGTTCACTGACACAAACCTTAAGAGTCCTGAACATCTTCCCAATATGAAACCAATTACACTTGTTATAATTTATATGATAAACAGCGTTTCTAGATAGCACGTATCAACGATATGCAAATCTGTATAAATTAAACGGCCTGTTGTCAGACCTCAGGAAATTAACATTCACGCACTACTTCATCGGAAATTTTCAGATTTCTTCAGATATCCCATGCATGACCGGAATAGCAACAAGTCTATTAATATTAAGAATTGGGACGACCTTGCTTTTAATGATCAAATACAGACCTATTCAGATAGATCACTTGTTTGTTTGGAAGCCACAAGGCCATGTCATGCTGATTTCTTTCCCATCAGAAAGATTTTTGCATTTACAGCTAATTTTCAGAAACAGACGTCAATTAAGCTTGATCTTGAAGAGACTAATTGTTTTGTCACCATTATTAATATTACTAATATTTTGTCACCAATTCTGGGCCTATGCTAGATAGGCAAATGAATTGCTGTGGGAAATTTATACATCTGCTGCGAACAATATAATCTAATCAGCAGGCCCTGTGGTCACAATACTATAGTACAAGTCTAGACATGGATGAATTGTACTGTTCATAATCAAACATCGGTGTACCAACTGCGAAGAATGGTTGATGACTAATGCGCCGGATCGTAAGGCAGAATGGTCATACACTTGGTTGCCTACAGTGGATGTTACAACGGGATCGATTCGAAGAGACAAACGAAGCAGAGGCTCAAAGCTTTAGTTACAAGCGAGTGCTTAGAGTGGTAATAATTTTCAGCGTCATAGGTATGCCTCATATCCGACCTCAGGACCTCTCAAAGACATCTGGTCAACCAGATGTAAGATGGTCGACCGACCTCCTGCACTGATATTTGAATGTTCAGTTGGTTTGGACTAGCTCTCTGCTGCACTTTGAAAGCATGATGTCACTTATCATGAAACGGTTGGCTAGAGATACTGCGACAACCAGGGATATCCAAATTCTGCCTGATTTTCTTTTCTTTACCTTCACACCTTGGGCTGATTTTCAGCTAGCTATCAAATGGGTTAAGACAAATTGCAGCCAAAAGACAAATGCATCAAAAAGCAATCCGTTTATCGGTTGGTTGAACAACAGTGCAGTCAAGTGGATTCCTTGCTTCAGTGGGAACTTCGTAGTTGATAAGAGAAAATTTACAACGTGGAGTTGGATTCGAACACTTCTGCGACTTGAACTCGTTCAAAAACAAATTACTAAAGTACAGAGCCAC